CATCAGTTTCTAACCATCCTCCATCAAAAATTGAGACATCACAGTCCAGGAACTCCAACATGCCATTTTTTACATCCTCTCGTGTGAACTTTATATATTCATCCACAGAGTTGATGTGATCAGTGAAATGTTGGACTTCCTGAGCTTTAATTTTAACCCAGGTGTCGTCAACATATCTGAACCAATGGCTTGGTGGCACCCCTGAAAAGGACATCAAGGCTCTCTTTTCCACTTCCCCATGTTCAGGTTAGCAACAATAGGAGAAACATGGGTGTGCCATGGGATCCCCAGTTTCTCCTACTTCCAACATGTGTGGAAAACTTTTTTGGTTCCCAGTCAAACTGAGTCTACGGGCTATCAGGTGTGGATACAACCTTAGACTGTTTGATCCAATCAGAAACCAGTTCGGATGAGTGTCTGGGATCACTGTCCTGTTGGAACAACCAGCTGAGTCCAAGTTTCAACCGTCGAGGAAATGTTTAAACACTTGGAGGCGGTCCTCCTCCATTATTCCACCCACCTTGTGCTCCTCACATCATGATGCTGCCTCCAGAACAGTTGGTTCAATGTTCTGAAGTTTAAAAGTTCACGTAGCAGGACTCTTTCCAGTTTCTCTCCATCTGAGGATTGGTCAGTCCAATGAGTTCTGTCAAATACCAGCTGCAGTCAATCATGATCATCAAAGAGAACTTGGTCACATCAGCTTGAACAACATTCTACAAACTTTAACACTTATTCATATCATTCAGGTGAACGATTTAGTCTTTTTTTTCATCAGTGACTTTTTTCTTTTTTATATAATGAAGAAAAAAGAAAGAGAAGAGAAATGTAAGAAATGTTAAGAGATAAATTGATAGAAATTCGACAACATGTGAAATGTACACCAATAACACACAAGACAACACTTCTGACATCTGGCCATTAGAAAATGAAGAAAACTATGGGGTGCTGTTTGTAAAGTTACACAGTCAAAAATTACCACCAACATTTTTGTTTTATTTGGCCTTTTATAAGAAAAAAGAACAGATTTATTTTTCAACGTCAGTTTTTCACCACATGATTCATACATTTATAAATGTTATAGTTTATAAACTAAATATTTAATTTACAAATTAAATATTTAGTTAACAAGCTAAATATTTAACTTGTGATTTAAATATGTAGTTTTGAGCTAAATATTTAGGTTGMAACTTAAATATTGAGCTATCTACCTAAATATTTAGGTTGCAACTTAAATATTTAGCTATCTACCTAAACATTTAACTTGCTAGCTAAATATTTAAGTTGACACCTAAATACTTAGGTATCTAGCTAAATATTTAAGTTAAATATTTAGGTGGCTAGCTAAATATTTAGCTCTAAATTAAATATTTAAGTCACAAGTTAAATATTTAGCTTGTTAACTAAATATTTAATTTGTAAATTAAATATTTAGTTTATAAACTATGACATTTATAAATGTATGAATCATATCATGAAAAACTGACTTTGAAAAATAAATCTGTTCTTTTTTTCTTATAAAAGCCTATATAAAACAAAAATGTTTGTTGTAATTTTTGACTGTGTAACTTTACAAATGGCACCCCACAGAAAACAAACACCCAGCAACCAAACACAAGCATATGTACTGTATGTATATATACACATCCATACATAGATACAATAATTACAGTCTTGCTGAGAAATATACCCAAAACACACACCCATACACACAACCAGACACACATACACACATACCTATATACGCACACGTACACACATATGCATATACATACATGCATACACATACATACACGTACACATATACCCTAATCTAATGATTTTGTCTCTGTGTTAATAGAAGAAAATCTTTAAAAACTTGAGCACTAAATACTTGCTTTTAAACATCATTTAAATCCTTTATAATGATTCCTCTCAGAAAAAAAGAATCGTTCAAATTAATCATTAACAAGCTGAAATTATGTATAAATCTGAGCTCTCTCTGGTTAAAAATCCCAGCATGTTTAATGTGATGTTTGCTTTGCTGTACTTGTCATCCTGCAGGCAGATTGTGCAGACTGTATCCTCGTTTATAATCTGTACTTCCCTCTCCTCGCCTCTTGCTTTAGGCTGTAGAGGTGCTGAAAGCTGAGCGTGTCGGTCACGGGTACAGCACGCTGGAGGACCACGCCCTCTACAAACAGCTGCTGGACCAGAACATGCACTTTGAGGTAAACAATCATCAACATTTGGATCAAAGTACTCTCTATCTAATGCTCCCTGCGCATCATTATAAACAGGAAGTGTCGATCCTGCAGAGACACTGGATATTTTATACAGATACTGTATATCAGTAGAATCAATGATTTACTGACATCTAGTGGCCACTTTAGTGCTTCCTAATATAATAAAGTCACTCAGGACTTAACCTCTGCTCTTCTGTCTGCAGATGTGTCCTGTTTCCAGTAAATACACGGGGGCCTGCAACTCAGACTTCAGCAAACATCCCATCATCAGGTGAGCTTCTGGTCCTTCTGATTATGTTCAAATATCAGTTTTTTTTCTTTCAGAGTGGTTCTGATTTGATTTGTGCTCAGGTTCAGGCAGGACAAGGCTAACTACTCCCTGAACACAGACGACCCTCTCATCTTCAACTCGACCCTGCAGCTGGACTACAGCACGGCACACAAGTACATGGGATTTACTGAGGAAGAGTTCAAACGACTGGTGAGATCTAAGACCACCTGAAAACTGTGTGGGAGCTGGCTTCTCAAAGGCAGGACCAAATACTGACAAAATGCTCAGTCATAGAAAGTAGGGATGTCCCGATACCACTTTTTCACTTCCGATACGATACCGATATTACAACTTTGAGAAATGTCCGATACCGATATTGACCGATACCGACATTGACCCGTTACCATAACAGTACAAGTCACACTTTTACCTACAGTATTTTGTAATGTAAAATCTTAGAAAAGTCTTGATCAAGTCAAACAGTGAAAAAGAGTAGGTATGAGAAAAACTGACCCATTTATTTTTAACCAATGGATCACATACATTTTAAACTGAAGAACATTCTACAATTTAATAAAATAAATTATAATACCCTGAAAAAATAACATAATAAAAACAAAATGTACTTTTAAAGTGTAAAATAATTCAAAATCACTCCAGTTATT